GATTCTAGAAAGAAGTAGAATTAAGTTTTTTCTTGAATTAGTTACTGTAAAGATGTGATATATTTTTCTACAGTTGTTGCATTTAAACAATTACTAAGTGCATTCATAATCACATTTTATGATTGTATATTTAGCTATACAAATTAAAAGAACATAGTCAACTAACTAATCTTGTGAATGCAAGAAAGTACAATCTACTAGTCAATGCCAATAAACTAAAAAGTTTACTTTTATACTTAATAAAGGATGCAAGTCATTTTAGAAAGAAAATTATATTTATATGTGTCTTTTTAAATTGTTTATAATAGTTTTTAAATATTTCTGTTTTGATATAAAAATGTATATATGCTAATTTTTGGCTATTAAGTGCTCCCTAAAATTTTCTTGAAAAATTCCTACCTAAAATATTTCAAAATTTCACTGCACCTCCTGAATTCTATCAAAGAGTGTTTTTTTTTGTGTTATTTGCATTTTCTTAAACTCTCATTATTTAATTACTGAATTTCTCTTTTAATTATTGAAATCTGTAGACCTTTCATTGTAACTGAATAGTTATATATTTTGAGATGAAATTTGAGCTCAAAATAAAATGGGTATTTTCCCTTTTGAATTACTGAAACTAAATAGATATTTCTTTTTAGAAAGTTAACACCATTATATTTTAAAAAATAAGAAAGTTAAAATTTACTTTGTAAAATTCTGGAACAGATACTATTCATTGGCATAAATGATAAATGCAATATATATGAAAACAACAGAGTCCATAAAACAATTTTGTGGACTCTTATAATCAATCATATGCAGGTTTTTTAAAATCCTAGCAATAGTGAATGTATGTATAATTGTAGTACTCCTAGTATGCTATTAATGGTTTTATGGATCCTGAAAATTATCTTTATATTGTTATCAAACTGATTAATAGTCATTTTAGCTGAGATAAACTGAGTCAAAAAATAATTTTAGCTGAGACAAACTGAGCCGAAAAGAGATTTTAACTGAGACGAAATACAATTTCTGGTGAGACAATTTGATATTTTGCGAGTAGCACCCCTGTATTATTTAATAATACTTTTTAGTGGTTGTTTGACATTGGCTCTTTATAATTGAGTATGTATCATATGCGTATTTGTATATGGTAATAATGGAGAGAAAAAAATGGAAACATTTTTGTAGGAGATCTGAAAGAGTAGTTGCTGTTTTGTAGTCCCAAAAAGAACTCTTTAACGTTTTTGGACAAAAAGAAATGTTGAATTGAGTTTCTTTAACTAAATGTTTTGCGACCAGCTTGAATATGAGCATAGCTTCTGTGACATGGTCTAAATCAAGATCCAGATGCATCATTCTACATGTGGCAAGCCTTATGTTTTTAAATTTTAATTATTCTTAAGATTAAATTATTAATTAGCCTATGCCAGGGATGGTGAACCTATGGCACGCGTGCCATTTATGGCACCCGACACAATATTTTGGGCACGCCACCGATCACATTTGTTATTACACTATGAGTTGTTATTACTCAAATGCTATTACACTATGAAGCATATGTAACAATTAAATTAAAATTCACAAAAAACACGCAAAATAAAACAATTATTAAGGAAAAAAATTAACAATTAATGCTAAAAAAGCAATTAATAACCATAAAAAACAAGTTAACAATAAATAACTAACAAAAAAATAAACAGTCCTGCTTAAACTAACATCTTACAACGTAATATAAGTTATTTGTCATCTAATATGCAACAACAGAAGTCACACTGATGTTACTTTAAGTTGAATTACGCATATAACTGAGACATTGCAAAATAATTTTTTTTTCAATGTAATTAAAGAGTTTTGAGTTGATAGTATTTAGTATTATTATTTTCCCAATAATCACGAAGGCAAAATTGTTTGACGGCACGTCTATGACCTCATTAAACAATTTTTTGGAAAAAATGGCACGTTGGTGTATAAAGGTTCGCCACCCCTGGCCTATGCTAATTTGTTTATCATAAATAGACTTAATATAAAAATAAATTTTATATTTGCAATAGTCAAATGAACACCAATTTAAGTTTTCTTGGGTTAAAATAATATTTATTCTATTTTGAGTATATTTTGTTTGTTTAAGAAATAATATTCTTAAGAAATTGTTTAACATTGTTGCTAATTTGTCTCATTATTAAAAGGTGTGGGCTCAAACAGCAAATTGCAAGAGGTGTCCCAGATGTAAAACAGCTATTGAAAAATCTGAAGGCTGTAATCATATGACATGTAGAAATTGCAGTGGTCATTTTTGCTGGTTGTGCCCCTCTGAAACTGCTCAAGTATGGGCCACTGGAAATGAATGTTATGCCCATATTAATAGAGCACATACTGGACAATTATTTGATTACAACTGATAAGGATATTTAAGTCAAGCATTACTACCTATCTTTAAAGTAAGTTACTCTTGGCTTTTTTTTTCTTCAAATAAAAATATAAGATCTGTTATTTATGTATTTAAGGGAACAAAATAGGTTTAAAAATTGACTTTAATAACTATGTATCACCTATATAAATAGAAGATATGTATTTAAAATGAACTTTAAAAAAATCTAAATTTTATTCTCATTAATGTATGTAGTGCAAAATGTACCGATGTTTTAATTTTTTTAACTTGGTAGTTTCTGCAGATGTCCAAAATGTCAATTCCAATATAAATTTAATTTCTATTTTTGATTTGTTTTTAATTAGTTTCATATGCTTATACATTTATCTGAAATAGTTGTTGCTATATCAAAGTTATTGCTATATCACAATATACCTCAAATCGGGAGTTCATTATTATTTTAAGGCATGATTGCATTTGAATATAATAACATAATTTATGAAACCTGTTTTTTACTTTTCGTAATTTAACTAATAATTCTAATGTAATTAAAAGCCATTATTCCTATATTAATGTAGCATAAAAATGCGTGTTTAACATTTTTTTTAAACAAATGATAAAACTTGAATTAAATTTTGTAAGCAAAATCATTATATATCTTCTATGTATTTAAGACTTTACACCAAATTTGTACATTTTGTTAAAAAATTATAACTTTTTAAATGAAATGTCCACTTTTGTGTATAGAACACTAAAAAGAGGAATGCCTGAATAACTTTTGGTCTAAAAATTTAATTTTCTCGTTCTGATACTCAATTTTTATGGTTTGAGGGCTTAACCTTAAATTTCTTAATTAGTGTAGATGATATTTTCAGTTATAAAATCAGACAAACATACTTTCTCTGAATAAGCATGTCTTTTTGTTGAATTTAGAGTTTTGTTTATGTCATAGTCCGAATCTGGAAAATATGCTTCCAATAGTTTTGACAGGATGATTGTTGAAAGTTAGGATCCCTTAATGTTAATTTTACTTTTTGCTTATTAAATATGCTAAATCATAGATTTGTATTTCTAGAAAGAAAGATATTTGGACCTCTTAAGTTTTTTTTTGGATCAAGTATTTGGAAGGAAAAAAAATGAAAGACTTTCCAAACAGTTGCTTGTATCTTATAAGCCAATTTCAAGAATCCTACTGACACTTTTTTTACTGTAATTTCTTATAATGCATTTTATTAATCGAAATATTTCTGAATATTGATTTTTAAAAAAAACATATTCATTGAAATTTTTGTGGCCCATTCAAAATAAAATGGTGGTCTATTTGGTGCTAACTTGTTTCAGAAAGAATATGGATGGTTGACTGAATGTAAAACAATTAACAAGCTTCTTAAAACCAGAAGAAATTTATTAAAAACTTTCGGTGTATACCTCTGCCTATGTTAGCTTACGAGGCAATGTGTGAACAGGCTTAATATTCTAAGAAGTTTCATAATTGTATTGAATTTTGCACATAATTTTACCATTGAGTTTTCTGTAATTTATATATTCTAACAGGTCGTGAGCCCTTAAATTAATTTAAGAAAATTACTATCAGAACATAAACAAAGTGTAAGGTTTGCCTTGTTTTGAATTTTATCTCTTATTTGGCTATATTGGTGCACGATATTGCTGTTTGTTTCGTTGACATTGAAAGAACGCGCTATAATGTAAGCACTACAAGTATAATGATATTGGATGGCACACTTTTTCAAGATGAAGTGTAAAAATCATTCATCATGGCCATCTGTGCTTAGCTTTAACAGCCAAGCATCCATATGCATAATTATTTCAAATACTGAAATGAAGGATGAGAAATATAGTCTCAAAAATTACCAATTATTATAAAATCTATTTTTTAAAAAAAATTAGATGCTTGCTATGGTTCTGCCATAAAAATTTTATTCTCAGAAAGTTTAATAAGTGTGTCAACAGTTGGTGCTATGAACTAAAAAACAAACAAACTATAAAACAATATTTTTTGCAGCTTGTCAGTTTTTCAACTGAAATGTCTGTATTGCAGGGCTGATTGTGCTTCGGAAAAAAATTCGGATTTCCGGAATTTTCGCTAGCATTGATCTGGAAGTTTCCGGAGATCGAAGGTCCAGACGTTTCAAAAAATCATTAATCACAGAAGTTTCCGGAAATCAAATTTTCAAAGGTCGAACTTAAAAACACAGTTTATTTTATTTGTTTGTAAGGGAGAGCCAGAGAGATACTTTATAAGCTTATATTCATGATTAATATTAATTTTTTGTAAATAGTTGTTATAATCATAAACTCAAGAAAGAAAGACATTTGTAAATTTTAATTACTTCTCCAGATCATCATAGGTATGTGTAAATGGTATAGGTATGTGTAAAATTTTAAATATATTTTAAGTAAACTAAGAAATATTGAGAAAAGGGAAAAAAAAACCTTATTTAAATTTTTTTCAATTTAAACTGTTTTTTTTTTTTTTTGTTTGTTTTTTAACTCAAGAAATTTTCCGGAATTTTGACTTGGGCTCACAATCACCCCTGGTATTGGCATCTAACAATTGTGTTAAAAAAAAAAAGTGCAAACATTGTTCGTCAGTTTTACACAGCCAAAACGCCATCAGTTGGTGAATTTAGTAAATAATTTTATAAAATTTGTTAGAATTAACTATTTGCCATAGTAGAATACTGTGAACCATACATTTCTGTTACCTTCAGTTTTTTTTTTTTTTTGTATTGATTTTTTGAATCATAGGTCATTTTTGGACACTTGGTCAATAATTATCATATTTAAAAATAATTTTTCATAAGAGTATTTTTTATATTGTATTTTTATATTGTTTAATTTTTTATTATTTTATACTCAAAGTGTCTATGTTTCGTAACTATTTTTATATGTATCTATTTTATCTACATTTGTAAACACATTGTATAGACAATTGTGATTTTGTATCTTGAGCTTACAATGCCAAATATATTTGAATAACTTTTTTCCCTTTAAATCTAGTTCCATTTTCCTAGAATTTTATGTTACTTGAATTTTCCATGTACATTTAAGTTTTGTTTTGTTTCTTTGTTAATGTTAACTGTATATTATTTATAAAATTAGCTTTAAAAGGGATGTATTTCAAGATTAATTAAATATAATATTGAAATTCAATAAAGGAGTTAAGATTTTATAATGTTTAATTTTTGTTTCTTACATATTTACTGATTTAAAACTTACTTTTTGGGGCTATTTTATTGGGAAATTATAAAAGAAATATACAAATCCTTTTTATTATTCTACCAAGAGTTAAATAGCTTTATTATTTTTAACAGAGTGGCACAAAAATTTATGTTGATATTTGTAGTACTAATTACATTTTTATTAATACATTAAGTAGGAAAAATTTCCAAGTTCTTATATTATTGTAAAAGATTTTTCTTGCCATTTTTAAATTCTTAAAAGAAATTTAACAAAATATTTCAATTATGTTGAAATAAAAAATCTAATTTATGTTTAAGAATGTAAAATAGGCATATCACTCTTTTATAACATATCAGATTTAGATTTTACTCTCAAATGCAATATTTTTTTTTTGATTAACTACATTCTAAAAATTTGCATAATAATAACTATACGTCTTAAACAATGCATTCAGTCTAATATTTTTCAGCAATAATTTTTTTTTAAAACTTGCATTTTTAACAAATAATATTTTAATTTGGAAAGAAATTGTAATATGTTTTATTATCTTAAGATGTAGCTGATACACGCTTAGAGCTTATTCAGGCTACAATTTAAGGTTAAAAGGATATAAAAACTGTCTACAAACTCTGTGATGAATAAATAAATAAAAATTTAATATTTCATCATTTTTGGGGGGGAGTGATGAATATATGTGATTTCAATGAAAAATATTTTTTTAGTTAATATAAATGTTAAATTTCTAAAATTAATACAATGCTAGAGCTTAATAAATCACACATATTTTTAGAAGTACTTTCATCCCATTCCCATAATTTTACATGATGTGATTCATGCAAAAATTGTTGTTGTTTTGAATTTAATAATATGCCTGTGATATTACAAGTTTGTTATATGTATAAATAAATTTAAGCTTCTAATTAATACCAATGTAAAAATTATCAGGTAAAGAATTACATATGCATGAATTTTTTGTAATGACAATCTATTTCTACGATTCCTGTCAATAAAAGGTAAAACATTATATATTGATATATTTGTTTTTGAATTAATAAAAAATAAAGTTTTTAAGAAATACAATAGTAACAATAATATGAAAGATAGCTAGTCAATGATTGTCATACAGATGAAACTGATAATACTAAAAAAATAATAGTAATTAACTACATTATTATTAAGATATAGCAATAAATGTTATGAAAATATGAATTTCTTTTTTCTGCAAATATATTTCTAAGAATGTATTAGTGAAAGATAAACCTCTATAACCTTTCACAGCAATATCGTGCAAACTAATCTATTGATTATTTGATAACGTACCTGATTTTTAACATAACCTGATGTTTGAAAATTTTATTTTTAGAAATATCAGATCTAAAAATGAAAATTAAAAAAATTTAGGACAAAATTAAATTGGAAATGTGCAAACATGTCTCACAGATGACACACATGAATAATTCAAAGTATTTAAAATGAATCCCAATTTTTTTAAACTTGTTTATTCTAAAAATTCAACTTGTTTGAAAATATGTACCAATATACATGATTTACAGAAAGTAGTATAAAAATGTCAATAAAATCATAAATAACACAAAAACAATGAAGTACACAAACATACAAAGAGAGTTACATCAAATAATTTTCAAACCATTACATTAGTATATATATATAAAAAACAAAATGAGAATTCATTGTATATATCAAATTGAATTAAATTATTTTTTAATATTTTAGCACAGGAACAATTTATTTATTATTTTTTCTAAGGGTTGGGAGATTTGGGTCAAAGATTTGAGGAGAAAACAAATTTTTGTGGGTCTACTGAATATGCGTGCAAAAGAAAATTACATGTTATGAGTTATCCATATTTTTTGAAAGCATTAAAACATCTTTTGCAAAATTCCATAATAGAAGATACAAAACAGAAGTTGCAACTGATGGATTCCCATCCCATTTAATTAAATAAGGTTATTGTTTTGTTTGTTATTAAAGTGAATTTACTAAAAACTCAATAAACAATGTTATAAATTAGTGATGCACCTATTCATTATTCTGCAATGCTATCCATGAATAATGTAAGCAACTTTTCTAAATGACAGGAACTTCGTCCCAGCAGAAAAGTTGAATTAGACTAGTTATCTATACTTAAAAACAGTTGAAATTGCTTGAAAAAAATTACATTTATAATTTAGGCCTAAATTTATTTAAAGTAATTAAATTAAAGCTTATTTTTACCAGTGAATAGGGAATTGTGATGACATTAAATCTTTATGTGAAACAAATGTACCAAATAAAATTAAAAAAATAAAGAAACTTCTTAATATATGTTTCAAAAGAAATTTAGAATGCATATAATATCTAGACAAATATTTTGTCATACATTCATTAACCTTTTACTAAATTTTCTAAGTTATAGTTGAGAAAAATGACTTAGGAATAAAAACAATTTCATTTTAGTGTAAAATAAAATGTCTAATATTAAGTAAAATGTAGCTAAAATAAAAACCTTTCAATAATCACTGGTTCAGAAACAGTTACCACACATTAAAATTGTAGCAATGGCTTTTAAGTAACTGAAATATTTAAAAAAAAAACACATTCCTAGGATTGCAAAACAATATCAGAATCACATCTTTTTGAAACAATCTTATAATACATATAAATATTGGTATATACATACTTAGTTGAGCATTTTTATTTTGGACTTAAGTTTATAAATTGTGAAACAGCAAAATAAATAAATATTACTTCATATATTCTAACAATTTATACACACCTTTCTTTTCAACAAGAAAAGCATTAAAAAGTTGATTCTATAGACATTTCTTTATATTATATTTATTCTTACATTTCGATAAATTGCCATTATTTTAGGCCTTTAATCAGACAGCAGCTTTGAGTTTCCACAGTTTGAAAAATAGTAGTTATTAGTAAAATTGTTTTGTTATAAATTTACCTTTATGAAAAAATAAAGATATATTTTTAAATGTAAAATATATAATGAAATCTATATTTAAAGAAAATTAGTTCAAATGGTCTTATATATAGATTTACCATAACTTTTTAATTTTCATAACAACTGTGCCGAACCAAATATAAGTAGTCATTTTAAGGTTGATGAATAAAACTCCTCACTTTATAATTCACATGAAGTATTTCTTAACTTTAAAAGAAAATCATTGAAATCAAAATATTAACAAAAAAACTATCAATTTTGCTGTTATTTTTAAAAATAGAATGAGTCCAGTTAGAAAGTGGGGTAAGTCTCAGGCTTATAAAGGTTAATTGAATTAAAAAATATTGGCAATGATTAATCAATTTGGGGGATTTTTTTAACTTTTTAATTTGATGAAACATCAAAATGGAACAATTATTATTAAAATCATAAAAAAGTAAATGACTTTTTAGAAACACATGGACTTATTCCACTTTCAAAAATAATAACACTCATTTGTTTCCTATATACTAAGAACCAACAAATAAAACTATTATTTTAATTTAAGTACGTGTAAACAGATTAAGGAGGCTGAATTTGTTCTATAAAGCTGAATTTATACACAATCTTTAAATACCATTAAAAAAACTGCATGTTATACAGCTTTTTTTCGTAATACTAATTTTATATAGATTAAAGCAAATTTCTGCACAAACATCTAAGAAAGTAGTGAACTGATTTTTGAGCCATATTTTACAATTGATTTTTCCTAAAACCTTTAGCATAGTTTTCATTCAAAGAATGTTTTTAATATGTATCTTACAAACATAATTTCAAGGCTCCATAACAAAAAATAAAAAAAGCTTTAAATTGTGATTTGGAAATAATTAAACCACACATGTTATGTTAGTCTACTATATTTTTTTTAAATATTTATATTTGTTTTAATTATTATTACATATGTAACATGTAATTACTATATTAAATAAACTCCTAAACGTGATTCATAACTTTCTGAAATACTTAGCTGACAACTTGTTATTTTTTTCCTCTAAGATTTAACATTAGCGAAGAAAAATAGCTGTGTATGCTTTAGGAAGAAAAAAAATCTTACCTTATGTTTCTTAAAAGTTAAAACAAAATAAAGTAAGCAACTGATTCTTCACATAATTAGCTGATACTCCAATCCAATTACATATTAGCAAATTTAACAAATACAATTGATACCATTTTTTTAAATTCATTTACTAATAGTAAAGACCAACATTTTTGTGAGAACTTATTGTTCGGAATAAGACTATTGTTAAGAATCTGTATTTTTTTAAAAGAAGTTGCAATGTAAATTAACTGGCAAAAAAAGCAAACGGTTTCTGCTTTTTTTCCACTAAAATACTTTTTGGAACCGGTAGCTGTGAAAGAAATGGTGCCATGCTGCCCAACGTACATTATATTATTTCCATTTTATTTAACGTGGTGTATTTCTATCTGGTTTGTACGACTTCCCAGGATGAGAATTTAACCGAAAAACGTAACATACCAATACCGAATATGTAATTATATTTCATTTTTAAAGCATGTTTAAATACAATTAAAATTAACATCTTGTCTGTATTAATCAGCAACATTCCATACTCCCTCAGTAAGCCATTATAAAATGTTGAGCAGTCTGCACGAATGGGGAGCGCAGCTATAAAAGGTTGAGCTTAAATGAGTTACTTCCCAGAACAATATAGTTTCTCGATAGTAGAATATTTATAATTGGAGAAAAAAAGGAAGACTTCAAATAATTCGGAGTTTTCTGTAAACTGATAATTCAATAAAATTGGTTTTAAGTATTTAGGAAGATAAATTTTTCATGTTATTCAACAAAAACATATTGAATTATTGTAGAAAGAACTTTCCATAATACAGAATAGTGTATCCAACAGCTTTAGGAAAAATAACAAAAAATATGGCATCAATACAAAAGAATAACTTTAAATGATTAAAAATGGTATAAATATATGACAAATCAAAAGGGAAATTTGTAAAAATCGAATTGTAAAATATACCTCTATAAAAAAGCATACATATAATATAATTGTAATTGACATCATCTGCAGTTTACAGTTGAAAAATGAAAATGACACCCTGTTTAAAAATGTGACACATAGCATAAATGTTTGCTAAAATAAAAACAAAAATTAAGCCAGTTTTGTAAAAGACAAAAATTTTTATCTTTGGTGCGTTAAATTTTTGGTTTTGTAACAAGCTGTCCAGTTTGTAGCCAAATTTGAAGTATTATACATTTGAGAGTTGAGATATTTACATAATTGAACTAAGTATTTATTATTAACAGATAGTAAAAAGCTTTGGGCTTATTTAAGATGCTCAGCTAATTCTATAATGAAACTTTTTCATACATTTGCTACCTAAAATGATCAATAAATAATTTCAAACTTTCAATTTGTTTTTGAAGTTCTCTCTTCTCAGAATCCAGATACATCTTTTCTTGCATAAGTTCCTGAAAAAATATGTTTTATAAGTATCAAAATTAACATTTTTGAAATTGCATAGTTTTTATTCTCTTGGCTTTAAAAACATGTAAAGCCGAGTTTGGGACAAAACAGTGGTTTTAGGATTATTTGAGTATTCAGAATAAAAATTTAATTTAATGCATTATTAACATAAGGAGCAATACATTTTAATTAGATTAATATATTTAATTACCTTGTCAAATTCATAAAACAATCCCTTATAAAAGTTTCAATGGACACATATTAACACATTTAGTAAAATAATAAACAAATCTGCTCACATAAGCTTTTATTATCTTGCAGCAATCTCTAGCTGCTTAAATACAAATTTTAGCTGTCTACCGTAGCTATAATGGCTAGCATTATCTGACTAATTGTTTTTAAATTATTTTAATAATATTGTTATAAATTGCGCTACACAGTGTTCAAATTTAAAAGAATATATTTTTTAAAAAATTCCCAAAAAGCAAATATCAGTTTGTTTAGTGTTTTATATGAAAAGCAATATTCTGGTTACAATAAAAAAATATGTTTTTCTGCAAATATTGCAAAATAATTTTGGAAAACGTTGAAATTTAAATTCATAGCTCCTATAAGTTTCAATGGATATAACTCCATAGTAATTTCTCCTTTTATGAAATATTATGCAATGTTATAGATTTGAGTTTTTAATCTTTTTTGTAGATACCTAAACTCTTCTGTCAATACATTATAACAGTCGTCACTCTGTCAACACATTTTATTTCATATTTTATAACTGTCATTGAACAGCCGACTCAATTTTGGGTTTATAACTACTAATGTTCAACCCCTACCCTAGTAATTTTGAACCCAATCCAGAAAACAAGCAAACTCTTGGATCAGTACCGTATGATTTGTTATGGGAACATGGAGGACTTTGTGACTCAACAGATTTAACATGCACCAATCACCATTTACTACGCGGGAAGTCTTCGGCCGACGGGGATCGAACCCACGCCCTCTTGGACATGGGCCCAGTGCCCTACCAACCAGGCTATTCTGGCCCAGCACAGCTACGTTATAAAATACAGGTTTAAAAAAACAGCATACTAAGAAATCTGTTAAGAATGTTCGAAACATCAAATATAGATTTCAGCAAAATTCGCCAAGATTAATTTTTAGTATTGTTATTAGTTTTTTTGTCCTAATTTCAGCCTATAAATGATGCAAATAAAATAGAATTATTTTGGTATTTCTTAACTATAAGGGCCTTTGATAGAGTGAGTAGTGAGTTCCATTTTTTGCTTAAATTGTTATCCTTGAACTAAAGCTACACTAATGTGCCATTAAAAACAGCTAGGTATTTATTCTTTGAAAATCTGAAAACAATATTGGGGCATATGTACCTCTTCATACAGCTATTAATTATTAAACTCAATCAACTGATATTTACACATTCAAAAACTGACATAATTATTCATTAAAAAAATAATACTATAGTTGGTTTTTTTATTGTTAACATTGTTTTTGGTTTCCTGAACTAGAAAACTGAATTCTAGTAAGAAATTTTGGCAATGTTTCATGCATTTTAAAGAACCCCTTTAGACGTACTATTATGTATGACGTGAATAACACAACTATTCTGCACATTTTGTTGAACTTTAGGTCAGAGAACTGGTAAAAATAATCAAGTCGAATTTTTTTGCTATAAGAACATTTGAATAAATAAAAACTGTTATTCAAATCTATGTCAGCTTAAATCAACTAATTAAACTGCAAATATTAGAATTCTTTGAAGAAAAAAAAACAATATTAAGCCTTTTCATCTTGCTCCCCCATCAGAATGACAAGGGAAGTTTCCACTTCAATCTCTCGTGCCATATTATTTCTGGGCTGGAATGTTCGAAAGTAACTTGCCAAAAAGGTAAAAACATGTATATTTGTGATTAGCCCAAGAGTTAAAAATAAATACATAAGTTGTACATACATTTAATTTTACATAATATAAAAAATGACATATTACATATTGAAAAAAAATGGCACTTTTTTTTTTCTTCTAAATTAAGCAACTATTAAGAGGTTAAAATACAGACTCATGATATATTTTATTAATTAAAAGTAACAATAATAAAATACAATTTATACAAAATAAAAAACAAATATTAAAAATCAAATATTAAAAATCTGATATTTACTTCTGTTCTTTTTTGAAGGCACTCAATTTCAATATTCGATTCTTGGTTTACAACATTTAGTTTTTGGCAGCTTTCTATCAAAAATTTCTTTTCAGAAGTTTGTTCTGCAAAATAATAAATAAAAATATTAAAAACGCTTTAATATTTTCAAATAAATATATTATATTATTGCTGAAAAATGCTTTGTCCCAAAAATTTTACCTATTTTACAAGTAACTGTTTTCTGTTCAAACCATGAATCTTACATCTTTCATTTTAAAAATCAAATATTCTGACAATTTAAAATAAATGGTTCATTACTACATTAGTAACTTTATAGAGCAATAGTTTTCTTTCAAAAACATTAGAAAGTGTTAGAAGTCAAAATTATAAGTTAACTTTAAAAGAATATGATTAAACATTTCTTAAATTATACTATTTTTACCCAAGTGAATAATAAAATACAGCTATAATAAATAAAATATAGCACAAAAAATTAGAAGCTTGGTTGTGTTTGGAATAAAATCCATTTATAAAATTTCAAATTTTAATTTGACTCTTCAACTAAATTTTTGAAAAACTGTAAAGTTGATAAGCAGACGCATACTGTAAAGATATTTACATTTTAATCGAATATTAAAAAGAAATTTTGAATTTAATCTTTAATGAAAGTTAATAACAGCTAGAACCCTTAATTTTTAAAAATTTTTAACAACTTTTACTTTTTATTCTATTCACTTGCTGTTATTCTATTAACCTTTTAAGTACTGATACGACTTATAAATCCCACTAATATTATATAAATATAGTATTGAAATGATACAAAATATCCCATTGAAGCTTATCTATCCCTGTAATATATGACTTACCGTTTTATCATTACTTGTTGACAGCACGCCATTATTTGAAGTTGAATATCACTTATGAAACTATTTAGCAGTTGTTGATACTTCGTTGACGTCATTTTAAGATTACTTTATTTCACTCCTCAATTCTCAGCTTTGACAAATTTTTCAAGTTTTTTATATTTTTTATTGATTCATTAACATTTTAAACTAGTTATAAAATGGAGTATCAAATATTTAAATTTAATTAAAATTTTATAATGCGGTGTAAGTTCTAAATTAAAAATTTTATGAAAATTAGAAAATCATATTGAATATTAAAAAAAAATGCTTGTCAAAATGTAAAATAGACATTATTTAAAAGAACAAATTTCGATCTGTTTTTATAATTTTTTTAATAATTTGAGAAATTTTTAATAATTTGGTTGACTTCTTCAACTTTAGATTTCAAAATTACCAAATAAAGGAGGAAAAATATTTTTTTAAATAAAAATAAAATTATAAGATTGGGACCAATAGTAAATTCTAATTTTTTTAATGATAGACCAAATCATTTACCATTTCATTAAATTTTGAATAAAAGTTTATCACATAAAAAAAATTTTTAAATATAATGCAAGTGAAGCATATATATATATGGGTCATTCTCACAAAAACTGTCATTTTTCGGTTCATAAAATCCCAAAAAAATAAAATGAATAAAAAGCTCTGAAACTTTTTTTATTAATAGAAATATGTAATGGCATTATAAAGAAAATATATATCCTTTAAATTATACTTAATATTTAAATTAATTAATTAATTTCACTATTTGAAAAGTGAGGGAATGACATTGATAGTGAGGGAATGATATTTTATTTCAATACATGTTTTTCTCTCAGTTACAGCTACCTCAAGTTTGAAAATGATAACATATTAAGTATATCTATTATTTATTATAATTTAGTTTTATATATTTAATAGTTTTTACAGGTTTGGGAAATAAAATTGGCTGGCACGATTGTCACATGGAATGGGTGGTAGAATTTTTTTTTATGTCTGTGTTTGTGTATTTATGTATGTCTTTTGGAAAGGGCCATTTTTATTTTCCTGCATTTGTGGGAGCCATTACATCAATTGTTACATTTTTTGAATGTAAGATCTTTACTTCTGCGGTATTTTAATTTTACATGTTACAAACAAACTTAATTAATGATTTACTGTTTTTTTCTCTTTGTATAAAATGCCTTAGATTCTATGTATTCAAATTTAAAAATATAAGATTGGTAGGTTTTTATGTTAATCTTTAACATCTGTACTACGTACTTTAACAAGATTTATTAAAATATTTGAAGCTGGAAAATGTATTTATGTGTGAAAGTGATACCTTATTTTTCTTGATGAAGTTTGACAAAGTAAAATTTTATTTCAAAAGGGCTAGAAAAAAATATCTTATGCAAAATATATATTTTTGAAAGTTCTTTATAGTTACTGCTTTTTGATTTTAAAAAAAAAACTGTCTGGTTATTTTTTGCGCAAAGATTTTAAATTTTGGACTCCTTGGATACTCCTTGGATTTCTTCTTCTGATCTCTGTTTGAACCCTGCCTATTTTATAAGTTCCCAAATTATAATGTTCACACAAAATTGATGCATCACATGCAAAACACGAAAGAGAGCGAAAATTCAATATGTTATTCCTTGCACTGTATGCAACTTGGTGAACTTTCATTGTGCCAGTGAATGGTTTAATTTTTACCTCAATTAATTTATCACATTTTTTTATATCCTCAATTGAAACTTCAAATAAAGTTACTGAGCAATTTTCTTTTAATACAGAAACAAGTGTTTCGTAATTATGCACATCTTTTCCTTCTGCCACTCTCCGATCTGCTGTTCTTTTCATAACAGCTCCAATTCCGTCGGGAGCTCCTTTTCCATGTCCGGATTCATTATAGTTCCAAGTAAAGTTTAGAATACCAGGAGTAAGCTGTTTTATATGTTGGGATATCAGATGAAACATTTTTCTGTTTCTATATTGGGCTGATGGCCCATCACTTAGCATATGAACATGTTTTACTTCACTTGTACTCATAATCCACTTTGTTGGAGTTTTTCTTCCATTGTTTCCTTTTCACTCTTAAGTTACGACTAGTCATTTGTGAAGCAGGTTTCACTCGTCCTCTTTCCTTTTTTTCCAGGTATTTAATTCGTTCTTTCTGTTTTAAAATTAAAGAGGAATTTGACTTCATTCGTTCTCTTCTTTTTCGATCATATTCTTATTTCTTTAAACGAGCTTCTT